CCTCCCTCCCTCCCTCCCTCCCTCCCTTCTTTCCAGGACGGAGTGGCTGCAGGATGTGGAGCAGGGGAAGGCCGAGGCCGTGTGCCAGCGCCACAGCGGGAAGGGACGAGCCATGCCAAGGTCGAAGAATGACTCTGATGGAGTCTCCCTGAAAGGTAGAGCGGAGGAACGGCCTTTAGCTCACGTTGGGCCAGTTGGCCTTGTGCATCAAGGCTGCCCCAGCGGGTGCCACGAGGCCCTGGCACACCTCCTCCCCCTGGGCAGAAGAGGGAGGGCCGGCCCAGGGAGGAGAGTTTGGCCCCGGGGTCAAAGTAGCCAGCGTGGTGTTTTCTCCTTTGTTCTCAAAAGGAAAGAGTTTGTCTGACACTCTTTGTGTAAGTTGCCTTGGCACCTGGCGGTTGTGCCCAAAGGGAAGGGAGCTGGACTCCCCCTCTGCCTCTTGGGCGGAGCCTTTGGGTCAGTCTCTCCGGCCGTACAGCCACAAGGAACTTTTTCTTAAGTTGGAAGCGTCGTCGTTCCCCACCCCGCCGCACTCACCGAAAGGGGTCCGTGGAGCAAGGAGCTGTTTTCGTCCCTCCGGGAGCCGAGTCACACCTTCACCCTTGCTTTCCTTCCCTGCAGTGTTGACCAGCCCGTTCAACTCCCTGGTGCGGCTGCCCTGCCCGCAGGTCTCTGCCCTGGCCAACTACTCCTGGACCTACCCGGAAGGCGGCTTACCATCCCAGGAGGGGCTGACCCTCCGAGACCACACCGGCCTGCTTGTCTTTGTGCACAGCCGCACGCTGGGCGAATACGCCTGCTGGGCCAGCGAGAACGGCTACCGGCACCGGGTGGCCTGGTACGACGTGCGCAGCGACCTCCCCGTGGACGGCGCCAGCAGCGGCAAAGGCAGCCTGGAGCACCAGGCGGTGCCCGTGGGCGAATGGCGCTCTTACTGGGTCCAGTTTGTGACCGTGACAGTCCTGCTCTCCATGACCTTGGCAGTGGCCGTGGCGGTGGGCTTCTTCTCCTACCACGACAAGCTGAAGGCCAAAACCAAAGTGCAGGGTTGCAGCGTTCCCGAGTCCAGCAGGGCTCCGGTGCAGGAGAAGGCCCCCCTCAACGGCAGCCAGGGCCCCCCAGGAGGCGGGGGCTACCAGTCACAGGACGCCGCCGATGGGACCAAATCCTGCTGTGTCCAGGTGGAAGGTGGGAGCCGAGCCGTGGATACGGACAACAACCGCCTGAACTGCCCCTTGATGAATGGGGAAGACACCCGAACTGGGGAGGCCATTTAGCCCGCAGGACTTGGTGGACTCTCGGGCGAGCACCCAAGGCGCCTTGTGCGATTGTAGCGCGGCTCCCAAACACGGCCGGGTTTTGCCTCTGGGGTCCGTTTTTAAACATCGTTCGTTCTCGGTTGTGTTTTGTACGAGGCCACCCCAGCTGCAAAACTGACCCTGGAGATCCAGACGGCTGGCTTCCTTCCTTCCTTCCTTCCTTCCTTCCTTCCTTCCTTCCTTCCTTCCTTCCTTCCCTCCCTCCTCCCTTCCCTCCCTCCCTCCCTCCTTCCTTCCTTCCTTCCTTCCTTCCTTCCTTCCCCACTTCCTTCCTTCCTGTCTTCTCCTGCATAGCAGCAGGCAGGAGCTCCACTTGCTTCCTCACAGCCCAGCCTGCAAATGTTTGCAGAGGAAGAACACAGCTGGGCTTTGGAGCGTTCTCTTTCGGGGAGCTCCCAGGGGACACCGGGGGAGGGGGGGAGGTTGGGGGTTGGGCGCCTTCTTAGAAAGACAACTGGCTGCTCAGGTGGGCGACTGGCCCCTCTGCCGACCTCCAGCAACCGTCATGCGTTTACGCTTTCCCGGAGCAACGTTGCTCAGATCTGGTCGACTTGGAAGATGGCTAGACTTCAACTCCCAGAATTCCCCAGCCGGCTCTGGGAGTCGAAGTCCGGCCATCTTCCAGTTGCTGAGGTGTTGAGAAGCGCCGTTCTTGGGGTAATTTTAGCCACTGGACGCAATTGTGAGAACCACTAGAAGTCTGTTTCGACTGCAGCAAGGA